TAGGGGGGTTTCTAGCAGGGAGCAGTCTGGCCCTGCCCCTGCCCCACACGAAGCCTCTGCTCTGAGCACTTTCCTCCCCATCCTTACTTGCTTGAAGGTGGGTGCTGGCTGCCAGCCAGCCCCTGGACAGATTCCCCACCCCTTAATTTGACTCATTTTTGTATAAACCCAGCAGGCTGGTGTTTACTTGACCCTATACCTCTTCTTTTCTCCTTTCCTTTCTCCCTTTTTCTTTTTTTCCTTTAGGGTTCACAGTTAGATATTTTTCCCTCCTCCAGGTGAGGGGAGGTGGTTCTGTTCTCCGCCCTACCCACTGACTGGTCCCAGCAGGGCTGGAGATCTGGATGGGGGGCCGGGTACTGGTTCTCCCTCTGGTAGGGGTGGGGATGGGGGTGAGGGGGTGCTCCCCAGGCTGGGAGGGGTCCTTGCCCTTCTGCCCCAGCTGGCAAGAGTTGGAATCTTGGTCTTAGAACCTTCCAGCTTTGGGACCAGAGCATTTCTAGGATTTTGTTGTTTTTAATCACCTAACTCTTTCAGAAAATGAATGTTAGAAGGTGCCTGCCGAGGCAGGGTGGAGCATTTCTGGCTGGAGAAGGCTCTGATCAGTTCTGTGGGTCCCTTCCTGTCCCGTAGACACCTGACACTTTAAAAGGGGATTGGCTGCACTGTCTCCAAATGAAGTTATCCCCAAAAGCTGGGATACTGCCCTTCCCGCCTGTGTCTGCAGGACCTCAACCCAGTGGGAAGGTGCATTCAAGGTGTATTTAGTGTCTGATTCAAAGTTCTGGGGCTTTAACGCATAAAATAGCTGGCTTTGGTGCTGTTGGGGAGACTCCCCAAACTAGGAACCCCAGCCCCACTCTAGATGAGGTCTGAACTTGACAGTCACCCCAGGAGACAGAGCCTGCCACATCCTCCCATGCCAGGCCCTGGGCCAGGGTAATTGGACTGAGAATTCGGCCATAACCAAATTAATGCTGGCTGCAGCTGGAGGCCCAGAGCCCTGGCCTCAGCCCCACATGGGAGCCCTCTGGCCCCCTCAAGCTCAGTGAATTCCCACTAGGTGCCCGAAGCTCCTAGACTTAAAAATTCTATAGAGAGAGAGAAATAGAGAGGAATATATTAGAGATATTTTTGGAAAGGAAATGGTCTATGCAATGTCAGTTTGGAATCTTGGAAGACAGTTTAACGTTTTTACTAGATAGAAAGAAAATAAAAATTACAATATTTTTAGGTTACTATTTTTCTGGTCACCCCACAAACTGACCACATGGCATGATCTGCCAGGATGGAGAATGTCCACATTCTCTCTGGGAGGTGAGCAGGGAAATGGGGGGGAGGGGAGGTCTTTATTTTTATTTTTAATTCCCCTCTTTTCTAACAGAATGTTTTCACCACCACACCCTGATTCAGTGGGCTGTGTTTGTATTTCTGTCCCAGCTTCTACTGTAGAAAATAACATTGTAAAGGGAAATCAGCCTAGTGTCAGTGTCTTGGTTTGGGGAAAAAAATTAAATGTTGCAGTTTTTGTTTGTTATGGCATTTTAGTTCCTGTTTGCTTGTTTTACTCACTTGACTCTGGGTCAATGACAACATCAGATGGAAGCCAGATGTGTAAGGTGATGCTTTGGGTGTGGGGAGGAAGTAGGTGGCCAGGGTTCTCCACGTCCTGGCTGAAGTCACAGTGATTACCACCTTTATTACACCAGGTTCCTGGGGAGGAAACTGAGGCCCAGAAGTGTGGTTTCTTGCCAGTCTCAGATCTAGTATGTGGCAGCTCTGACCTCAGAGCCCAAGTTCTAACCACTGCTCTACAGACCTCGCCAGCAGTCAGGTGGCCTCTAACAAAGTGTGCCTGAAGACAAAAAGCTACCTATGCCTCAGGTGTCTTAGCTGAAAATGAGGTTATGGATCAAATGAGAAAGTGGGTGTACAGCTTGACCTCTATGGGAGGTGCTGAGCATGTCCCCAACCTCTCCAAATCTCCCGGCCTGGCCCCCTCTCTCCCTGCCCCTGCTTAAACTTAGAGGAGTCTGCACCAAGCTCTGAGAAAGGCAAGTCACCCTGAACCTTTAATGAGCTCAGAAGTGGCCAGAAACCTCAGTGGCTCTGGACAGGCCAGAAGGAACCAGACTACCAGGCCTTGTCCCTGCCACAGCACTGCTTTGTTCCCACTCAGGGCTGATGCCCAGGCATAGACCCTGAAAACCCTGGGGGTGATTACTCAGCCCCCTTCCTCTGTTCACTGCACATCTGGGGAGGGACAAGTTGGCTCTCAGCTGAGCCCAAAGTCTGTCCTGAGACCGAGAGGGAATAGGCCAGAAAGGGTTGCTCCTTCGGAACACAGTAATGCCAAGTAAAAAATCAGTATACAAAATGGTAGGAAAGAAAAAAGGTTGCTCCTCTCAGCTTTGGGAGGACAGTCCCCATAGTCAGACGGGCTTGGACAACCCCAGGAGACACATGCTGCTAGAAGGAGCATGCCAGGTTCAGACCATATCTCCGCAGGACCCCCGCCCTATGCTGTATTCTGTAGCATTCCAAGATCCAAAAGACCCGGAACCTTAAAGCCAGTTAATTGATTCAAAGCTCCTACTTTGTGGGAAGCTCCATTCTAGGCACTGGGGGTACAGCAGTGACCACAGACCCTAGCCTCAGGGAGCTCCCAGATGGGCCAGGTCGAGTAAGCTAATTAAACGGGCTGACCAGCGTCATCTGGAGCAGACTGGAGGGAACGAACCCCCACCTAGCTGCCAAGGGGACTTCCCTGGGATGACTGGCATCCCACTGAGACCTGATGAGTGAAGAGCAGCCGGCCCCAGCTGTGGGGAGACTGTTGCAGACTCCGGAACCGGAGGACACGTCGGAGATGAACGAGGGGGCCCAGCCGCCCCTGGCTCAGACCAAAGGGCCTCCAAGCCCCGCTGGGCCTGGCTCAGTGGTTGAGCATCGACCTAGGATCCAGGCGATCGGGGTTCGATTCCTGGTCAGGGCACATGCCCGGGTTGCGGGCTGCAGCTTATCAATGACTCTCATCACTGATGTTTCTATCTTTCTAACCCTCTCCTTTCCTCTCTCTGAAATCAATAAAGATATATTTAAAAAAAGAAAAAGAAAAGAAAAAGAAAAAAAAGAAAGGGCCTCCAAGCCTGGGGAGGAGCCTGCAGAGGGTCGGAAGGCCTGCCTGGGCGGTCGCGACACCCAGGGCCTGAGAGGGAGACGGGGAGGAGAGGGAGGGTCACCCTGGCCTCCCCCGTCCCTGCAGTGCGGAGAGGAGGGGAAGC